TGAGTTATTTGACATATCAGGCAAAGTTAATCTCACTTTGCAGCAGAATACCACAATTTGTAATGAAGCAAGTGATGAACTTTCAGAATTGACTATTACAGAATTCAGAATTCCTACAATTATTACCATCATAGTTTCGTAAAAACTCAACTACTGTATTACTACAGAAAACCGATATCAATGTAAGGCAGAATCTGAGCAGGAAATAATTGAAAATGAAGCACATATTCATCAAATAACTTATGGTTACTACCTTAATGTAGAAGACTGTTATATGAATCTGCAATTGCTCTCCTGCAGAAACAAATATCCAGTTCCTCCAAAATTTAGTTTCANCAGTTCCTCCAAAATTTAGTTTCAAATCACAGAAATAATTGTAATAGAAGAAAGCCCTTATACTTGATATACAAAATTCAAATTTGAACAACAAAAACAGTTCCAAATCCAAATCTTAAACCCATTTTATACTTTTTATCACATTAAAACTCAAACCAGCTGAAAACTTATAAAATGGCATACGAGAGTACAACAATATGAATCAAAATCCAAAAAGATCATAGTTTTTCCTTTCAAAGTTTGATCAAAATATCCAAAATGGAAGTGCCAAGGAATTAAATCCCAGAAACCCTATTATGTGATCAGAGAAGAACTATGCAAAATGACGCAAGATCCACTTATTGCTACATAATCAAAATTGACTAATCTTTTAATGAACAATTTTTGGCAAGAAAAGACATATGTACATACGTACTTTTGTATAATAAAGTAATGTTGAAGGAAGAAGCTTATATTGAACTTCAAAATAGTAGTTATTGAAGCCGGTTTCGACATCCATCAAAGTTGTTCCCAGTAATCTAATTTCTTCTCTTAACATTTATGCCGACAACAGTTTATGGCACAAAGAGATAAAATCTTACAGATAGAGAACGAAGGAACAGAAAGCAGCGACGGCGGATTTCAGTTACCCAATCTCACAGATAGAGAACAGAGGAGGAGGAAGTGGCGACAGCGGTTCTCGGTCAAGTAGAGGTGTGCGTCCTCAAAACCCTACAAGTCAAGAAGTGTTTGATTTGATTTTCTTTCATTTACTTGGGTGGGGTTCACGTGGGTGTGGGAAGATTTTAATGGGTCCATTGGGAAAAGTGAGTATGAATCGACCTTGTCATTAGTAGGGGTGGGCGTGGGTTGGGTTGTGTCGGTTTTTGCCCCAACCCAAACCCAACCCAACCCAACCCAACCAAATGTCAGTCGGGTTGGGTTGGGTTGGGTGGGTTCGAAATTCTTAGTTTAAATTCACTGCATTCCCTTTCCCAAAGTCTAAAAAAGGAGAAAAACCTC